TTGTAAATATATTTTTCTAAGTTGTATATGAACATATTTATTTAATAAATTATTTAATTTTTAATTGTTTAAATGCATTTAATTCGGCAATTTTTTCAAATTTTTTTAAAAATCTCTTGTTATAATATCACTTTTTATTCAATCTGTTTTTAAATAAAAAAATTCATGCTCATCTTTGTTTTTTTTTATCTGCAAACGCACCATTCCTGCTTCGGACAGCATAAATGATCTTTGTTTTCCTCGAAACTCAACGTACATTCTACATTTAATATATAACGTGATATAAAACTTGTTTCTGTTTTTATCTAAAGTGTCCAATTTTGTTTGTCCTGCTTGCATCAATCCACAACAACAAATTTGAAATAGCACTGTTTTTGAAACCATCAAGGTAGAGAAAGTCACATCGTTTCAATATCTAGGGGATGTTCTTGAAGAGCTGAAGCTGCCGTTCGAGCACGCATACGTGCAGCCTGGAATAAATGGCATCTCCTTGCTTCTATATTGATGCGTCGCGACATCCCACTACCACCACGATCAAGACATTATAAAACGGTGATACGTCCGATGTTGTTATATGGTGCAGAAACATGGCCAATGACAACCAAACTGGAACAACAACTTCCACGAACCGACATGAAAATGTTCCGATGGATGCAACGAATTAGTCTGAAGGACCACATCAAATCTACCGAAATCCTGCGTCGTGCTGGTTTAGATGATATAAAGGACGAATGCCGGCAACACCGTCTGCGCTGGTTTGGTCATGTCAAACGAAGTGAAAACAGTGCCATAACTTCTCTTGCAGATGTTGAAGTACCTGGCACACGTCCCTAAGGCCGTCCAAAGAAGTCCTGGTCGCAAACAATCGAGCAAGACATGAAGGCTCTAAATTTAAATGAAATGGATACAACTGATCGTCTAATTTAGCGTAAAAATTTGATGGCAAAGAAAACAACGTCCTTCTTCGGAGAACCGGGTCTCTGGACGCAAAACGAAGATTGATTGATTGATTGATTTTCTGTTTTTAGTAAAATAATAAGAAGAATTTAATTTTTAAAAGTTTACTCGCCAAAGTATAATTTAATAACATTCATATTTTATATAGTATATTTAGGCAAGAATTCTATATTATACAACAGTAAATCATAATAATAAAAAAATATTTTCGTTGAATGTGTTTGGAGAGTTGCCAAATTTGATTTTTACGGATGTGCACTATTTAATATCGACACACGGTATATGTCAGGTTGACACACCTGAAGGTGCGCTGTCGGACTGGACAAGGACCTGGCTCTAAAAGTTTCGTTCAATCATGAAGAAACTAAAAGTATATTTTAAATAATTTTTTTAATAATTGGATGGAAGCAGTCTCAAAATAAAGAAGAACACTTGTAAAGGAACAACACTCTTGAAAGAATTTTGTTCAGGATTGGTGAGGTCATAAAATTTGAAAAAGCAACTCAA